CTGTTCCTGCCCCCAGGTGGTCGGGGGAGGAAGTTGGCTTCTTCCTGGAATGTAATTGTGCCCCCAGGACTTGCCTGACCCACTTACCTCCCGGAGACCACAGCCTGTCAGAGGCGCCTGCAGTAATGGGCATCTCCTGAGTGAGTGGCGTCTCCCCCAGGGGCGGCCTGGTCTGGGAGGAGCAGGGACAGGCTGTGTCCTCCTCGGCCGGCCTCCCCCAGGCGTCCACGGGTGGCAGAGCAGTGACCATCGGTTTGTCCCTGCCAAGCCCCAGATCCTGCCCCCCCAGTCCTTCCCAAGCCCTCCTCGTGCGTGACCAGGACCACGCCCCCACAGCCCACCCCTGCCTCACACTCACAGCTCACACACACCCCCAGGCCCATGACAGGTGAGCAGACCTCCAGGTCCCAGCGGTGCACCCCCCCCCACTTTCCATAACCTATGGCAGGCAGCCCAGGGCCCGCTGACCTCCAAGCTTTCATGGGTCCCCACTCAGTCACCCATTTGGGGTCCCCACTCTTCCCAGCCTGCTCCCCAAGCATCCTGGCACTGGTCCCTGAAAGACCCTGCCTGCAGGAGTGGGAGACCCCGAAGGCTGCTGGGTAGGGGGACCCAGTGAAAGCCCAGTGTTCTGAGTCTAGGGGGAAGGCATGGGGGCAGTAGGGGGGCCCTGAGCTGGCAGTGGGGGACCCCCAGCAGGCTGCTCCCTGGCCAGCCGGGTGGACGGTGACTCAGCAACCTTCTCCTCCAGTAGAGTACGTGGTACAGCCGGGCTCATGGTCTCTTCAGGTGCAAGCTGCGGTCCTGCGGGGTAGCGTTGGGGCGCCCCTGCCCCTCACCCCTGTACCCACAGAGCTGGCGAAGGATGAGCAGCACAAGGGGGCTCGCTGGGGCTACAGAGAGCAGGGCGCGGGGGTGGGAGAGCTGTGCCCCATTCAGCAGGTGACTCCTGTGATGGGCCGGGACCCGCGTCCCTCTGGGGCCTCAGTTTCTTCGTTTGCTCTGCATTTTCTGCAGGTTCCCCGAGCTCACACAACCCAGGACTTTGCGGTTTAAAAAGACCTGCTCCCAACCTCTGGGTTCAGAGAGAAACCCCCACAGCAGGCGTGTGGGGCTGAGGGTTGCAGGCCTGCAGAGCAGGAGGGCGAACCTTCACTTAGAGGTTTAGAGGGTGGCTGAGCCGGGGAACCAGGCCGGCGCCTGGCCTTCCTCTCCGAGCCTCAGGCCTCCGCCCGGCCTCCTCTCAAAGGGCCTGGGATTGCTGAGTGCGGCTTCGATGCAAGAGAAGGGAAATGAGTTGTCGCAGCAGGAGAGATTGAAGTTAGACACAGGAAGGACTTTCCAGCCCTCATTGGCCGCAGCGGCCGCCTTGTCCTGCCCGGGAAGACGCACCGACCTCTGCACACAGGGAACTCACAGACACGGGCAGTTCATTATCGAAACGTGCCTGGAAATGAATTCATGAAAACTTTATTCCCTGTCTCCCGGGCCCCACGGGTCCGGAAAATAACGGCATAAATTCATCCTTAAGGGTGAACTTTGCCAGCCTGTGCGCTCCTGCGAGAGGCATCTTGCTGGGTAGCCTGCTTCCATCTCATTAGCGCGGCGTCTGCAAATGCAGGTCGGGAAGATGAAACACGTTGTGTCCAGTAGCTCCTTGTTATCCGCGTCATCCGAGGCCAGGCCCGAGGGGGACCGTCCGCGGGAGCGTGGTCCCCACGTCCTGGTCGTTGGTTTGTGGGGGCAGGTGGTGGGAGTGTGGGCGTGGGTGTCACATCCCCGCTGCTACTCTAACTCCCTTGCAGCCCACCTGCCAGGTGTGGGGGGTGGAGTTTCCATTAGTTTCCACCCAGGACTACAGCCGGGCTCTGAGCACCTCTGAGTGTTTGGAGTTAAGGGATGTTCCTGAGTGTTGTTAGGAGGGCCCTGGAGGCGTGGCCCCGGGAGGCGTGGCCGGGGGGAGGCCTAGTTTGTCACTGTAGTTGGTCCCAGGCAGAGAGGTGGTCACACCCACCTACCCACCCCAGGCCACACGTGGCTGGTTCCCGTGGCCGCTCACGAGCGCTCAGAGATACGTGCGCCGGGACCGCATGCACCTACCGCCTCACCCGGCCCTGCCACCCTCTTCAGACCTGCAGGCCAGCGAGCAGGTGCCTCCACTCGCCCGGGCCCAGCACCCGCGGCATCTCTGCCTAATGGCCTGTCTCACGCTTTCCCGCCCGGGCAGTTCTGAGCAGACAGAGGTGCTCACTCTGCCCGGGGCCCCTGGAGCCCCCGGTCATTCATCATCCTCAGCTCCGCCAGCCGCTGCCTCCCCAGGAGTGCAGCTTGAGCGGCGAGGGGTGGGGGGGGGGGCGGGCAGCTCCCCAGCCCCGGGGACTCAGCTGTTCCTTCTTGCTGGGTTCCTGCCCAGATGCCCGCACCCTGTGCCCTGGGTAGCGACTGGTCCTGGGGTGGAGGCGGCTGTGCTGTGGGGAAGGAGCATGGCTGTGCGGCCTCAGAGAGTGGAAGGAAGGGGAGAGACACAAAGGGAGAAACATGGATGTGACAAGGCCCATTGATTGGTTGCCTCCAACACGTACCGCAACCAGGGTACACACCCTTAACCAGAATTGAACCTAGAACCCTTTAGTCCACGGGCCAACGCTCTATCCACCGAGCCAAACCGGCTGGCTGACACTTGTTTGTTTGTTTTTTAAACCTAAGTTGCTGATACCACCATTGTTTAGGACCGGGCAAGGGCTAGGAGGCCAGAGGGCACAGCATCGCACAGACCAGACCTCTGACCCGCCTGTTCCTCACGTATGTCCCTGAGCACCTACTAGGTGTGGTCAAAGATCTGCAGTCATGGTTCTTAAATCCCAGCGAAGGGCAGACAACAACTAAAACACAGCCTGTCGGTGACAAGTGCAGAAGGAGGGACTGGCAGTCCCAGGGGACCTCGTGGAGCGGAAGTGAGCCCCGTGGGGTCTGTGGGAAGAGCGTTTCAGGTCCAGAGAACAGCAGGGGTGAGGCTCCGAGTGATCAGGGCAGACGCAGCTCTTGGAGGGGACGGAGCCCTGGTGTTTGGCCACAGGACTGGGAGGGGGCCCTGGCTGCTCACCTGCCCCTCCTCTCTCACCCACAGCCACCCCCGCGGCCACCATGTGGAACATCTTCAAGAAGAACCAGCAGCCTGAGGCGGCTCCGGCCACCACCACGGCCACCATGCCCGCCGGGCCCGTGGGCAACTCCACCGAGAGTGGGGGTGCCGGGGGGAGCAAGGAAGACATGTTTGCCAAGATAAAGGAGAAATTCTTCAATGAGATGAACAAGATCCCCCGTGAGTGTCCCCGAGGCTGGGTGTGGGTGGGGGTGCCCAGGGGCGCGATTGGCTGGGTTCTTTCCTGAACCGGGTTTAGGCTGTATTATTGGGGCGCCCTGTCGATAATGGGGAATGTGGGCTGGCTTACTGAAGGGAGCAGGGGGTATATATGGCCCAACCTCCCAGGGAAACAAGTTCTTATACAATTTAGAAAACTGTCAAAAGATGAAAACAAAATATTAAAAAATATATATTTTAAAAAATGGATTTCAGAGAGGAAGCGAGAGGGAAAGAGAGAGAGAAACACCCATGATGAGAGAGAATCATGGATCAGTTGCCTCCAGCACGCCCCACACAGGGGATCAAGCCTGCAACCCGGGCATGTGCCCTGACCGGGAATCAAACCAGTGACCTCCTGGTTCATATGTCAATGCTCAACCGCTGAGCCGCACCGGGCGGGCAGTGATGGACATTTTTGTACCTTATGGTGCCCCTGCCTTGTGACTTCCTGGCTAAGTCTGTGCGGGAGACACAGAGGCCACACTCAGCCTCACCAGCTTACATGGTGGTCAGGACCGCGGACAGCGATCAGGTGGTCAGGACCGCGGACAGCGAGCAGGTGGTCAGGACCGCGGACAGCGATCAGGTGGTCAGGACCGCGGACAGCGGTCCCAGGCCCTTAAGGGCCGTGGACAGCATCCCAGCCTGGGCACTCTGTGGGATCTTCCCGCCTTGTCCGAGGACCACCCCACCCTCTGCAATCCGACCAGTTCTCCATGGGTCAGACTGGTCAACGCCCGTAGAGCCCAGTTCACCTCCCGGCACGTTCAGCTCGAAGGCCTCTCCCCGCTGGCAGGCGTGTCCACGGGGCCATGGGCTAGGTACCCGTGATAAGGCAGGTGAAGCACAGGCAACTTCCCTGAAGATCGCGCACGAGTGTGTGGTTGAACAGGGTGGGCTGGGCAGGGGCCACGGTCCCCACCCAGGGCCGAGCCCTGCTGACGTCGGGCTCTCCCGGGGCAGTGCCGCCCTGGGCGCTGATAGCCATCACCGTGGTGGCCGGCCTCCTGCTCCTCGCCTGCTGCTTCTGCATCTGCAAGAAGTGCTGCTGCCGGAAGAAGAAGAACAAGAAGGAGAAGGGCAAGGGCGCCAAGAACGCCATGAGCATGAAGGACATGAAGGGCGGGCAGGTAGGACGGGGGGTGGAGGGCACGGGAGGGCACTCCTGCCCCTCAGAGGCCAAACGAGGGCCGCTGGGCTCTGCAGCCACCGGGGTCCCCCCCAGACTGTGCACGGTCCCCACTGGCTACGTCTGCGGCTTCACCTGTTGACCCAAGGTGCTCGTGGGAGGGGGACTGGTGGGGGGGACCCGTTCTTGAAAGGGCAGAGGAACAGAATATGCATCAACCCCAGGAGAGGCTGTTGGGACACAATGTTGGAGGGAGACCCCCCATCTGGGAGGCCACCCCAGGAGTGAACTGTGGCTCCTGTCGGAGGTCCCACAGCCTCTAGCTGGGGGCAGGGCGGGGACTGGACGAGGCCAAGTACAGTCCTGTCATCATTCACCCTGTCCTTTGGGGCCAGTCACCTGGAAGGTCCTCACACACACAGGTTTCCCCTTAGAAGTTTGCAGAGGCCTCGGGGAGCTCCCCCCCCACGCCATGGGGGTGACAGGAGCAGTTTCCTGCTCAGGAGTCAACCCAAGGGGAGGGTAGACAGTGGAGGAAGGGCCTGACCTCAGAACCGGCCAGGAAGCAAACACCTCTGTGTGTGTTTTTGTGCACGTGTGTATGTGCACAATACACCTCTGTTCATGCGTGCATGTGCGCACACGTGTGTATATGTGTGCACATACCTATGGGGGGAAGGGGCCTGCAGTGGGGGGCATGGGGGCTCCAAGAACACCCTGGGCACAGTCCAGCCAGGTCCCCCATCCGGGAGGCCCCCCCCCCAGTGGCTGTCACCCCAGGGGACTGTCTGGGCTGCAGAGTTTTTCTCTTGACCACATT